GTTTTTCTATACGTTTTACACATCAGGTGCGACTAAAGAAAAAAAACCTCTGTAAATCTGAGCAAAACTGTGAAATGTTTCTCACACACACTTAATGTGGTTAGGCATACATATATGATAGGAAGATTTAAGTCTGTCCTTTTAAAATAAAATATATCTATCGCAACAAATACATAGCACACATTTTAGATTTTGTTTTGGTTCAAGAGTTTAAAAACTGCCTTTGTCCTTAAGGGGTAGAATTTATTTTTAATTTCCTGAAATGTGACTTGACAGACTTTTCCTTTATCAGGAGTTATGGACAAATGTTAGGAGCTAGACCTCTTTCAAATGTGAAATGTTATCTTATTTAGAATAAACATACATAGGCCCACACTTTAATAAAATACCTTTTTTATGGATAAATGTACATAGTACCCTACTTTACAACAATCCATACCAAGCGCTATAGTTGCAGAGCAAGCATTTGGTCACCCCTGCTATAAAATATTTGGGCACCCAATGTCTGCACTGCAACTCTGAACTTTAACAATTTAGTAGACCACAAGACTTTCTAAGAAACATGCCTCCAAACCCTCAGAAGCCAGACGTGCAGACAGATCCATAGGAAGAATTTTAATGTTATCATTGTTGGATGGCGCATACAGAGAGCTTGATTAAGGTGAGTGCGGCTTAACTCTCAAATTTCTGGACAGGGCATTACACTCACAACAGTGGAAGTTGGTATTTTAATTGGATATGTTCAATTAAAGTTTGGAATGCTGCATCCATATTTTTACTGTTACTATAAGTTAAATTAATACAAACTGCCTGGGTCTACTCTTCACAGCAACTGAGTTATCAGTGCTGATTTATTTTGCCATATCAGGTGCCTCTAATAGAAGCAATGAGGATATACAGGTGATACTCGAAAAATTAGAATATCGTGCAAAAGTTCATTTATTACAGTAATGCAACGTAAAAGGGAAACTAATATGATATAGATGCATTACATGCAAAGCAAGATTGTTCAAGCTGTGATTTGTCATAAGAGCGATGATTATGGCTTATAGCGCATAAAAAAACCCAAATCCACAATCTCCGTAAATTAGAATATTACATGCAATCAATAAAACAAGGAGTGTACATAGAACAATATCGAACCTCTGAAAAGTATAAGCATGCATATGGACTCAATACTTGGTTTGGGCCCCTTTTGCAGCAATTACTGCCTCAATGCGGCGTGGCATGGAAGCTATCAGCCTGTGGCACTGCTGAGGTGTTATGGAAGACCAGGATGCTTCAATAGCGGCCTTCAGCTCTTCTGCATTGTTCAGTCTCATGTCTCTCATCTTTCTCTTGGCAATGCCCCATAGATTCTCTATGGGGTTCAGGTCAGGCGAGTTTGCTGACCAATCAAGCACAGTAATCCCACGGTCATTGAACCAGGCTTTGGTGCTTTTGGCAGTGTAGGCAGGTGCCAAGTTCTGCTGGAAAATTAAGTCTGCATCCCCATAAAGCTAGTCTGCGGAAGGAAGCTTGAAGTGCTCCAAAATCTCCTGGTAGATGGCTGCGTTGACCCTGGACTTAATGAAGCACAGTGGACCAACACCAGCAGATGACATGGCTCCCCAAATCAACAGACTGGAAACTTCACACTGGACTTCAAGCATCTTGCAGTGTGTGCCTCTCCATTCTTCCTCCAGACTCTGGGTCCTTGGTTTCCAAATGAGATGCAAAAGTTGCTCTCATCAGAAACGAGGACTTTGGACCACTGAGCAACAGACCAGGTCTGTTTTTCTTTAGCCCAGGTAAGACATTTCTGACCTTGTTTGTTGTTCAGGAGCGGCTTGACAAGAGGAATAGACATATGAAGCCCATGTCCAGGATCCGTGTATGTGGTGGCTCTTGATGCACTGACTCCAGCCTCAGTCTACTCCTTGTGAAAGTCCTCAACACTTTTGAATGGCCAATCCTCTCCAGGCTGCGGTCATCCCTGCTGCTTTTGCACCTTTTCTTCCACACTTTTCCTTTCCACATAACTTTCTATTAATGTGCTTTGATACAGCACTTTGGTAACATCCAACTTCCTTTGCAATTACCTTTTGAGGCTTTCCCTCCTTATGGAGGGTGTCAGTGATGGGTTTTCTGCACAACTGTCAGGTCAGCAGTTTTCCCCATGGTTGTGATTTCTACTGAACCAGACTGAGAGACCATTTAAAGGCTCAGAAACACTTTGCAGGTGCTATGGCTTATTTAGCTGATTAGAGTGGGACACTGAGCCTAGAATATTGCACCTTTTCACAATATTCTAATTTACTGAGATTGTGGATTTGGGGTTTTCATGAGCTGTAAGCCATAATCATCGCACTTATGAAAAATCACGGCTTGAACTATCTTGCTTTGCATGTAATGCATCTATCTCGTATATTTCCCCTTTTACGTTGTATTAATGAAATAAATGAACTTTTGCACAATATTCTAATTTTTCGAGTATCACCTGTGTAGTGCATACAGCAATCCAATCTAATGCTTGTCAGAGGCTATACTAGTGGTGTTTGGTGACGGCATGCTGTGCATGATGATGCTGGATATGAAGTCCTTTGAATAATGTAGGCCTGAAGAAGCTCTAGAGGCAGTTTTTCTGGCTAATGCCAACACTGCATTTTGATAGTGTTTTACATTGAATAGAGGCAGTGTTTCTGCACCGAAACTCTTTATTACAATGTAGTTTTACTGCTTGGAGTGTTCCTAATCAATTGGAAAAAGCCTCCCCGTCCCCTCAAAGGGAACACCAAATGGTCTCCAACCCAGAAACTATTACTCTTACGACAGTTTTATGATTTTTTTTTTCTTCATGAGTAAAAAAAATGATTAATAAAAAAATATTAAAATTTAAATAAAGTGTGTGTGTATATGTGTGTGTGTATGTGTGTGTGTGTGTGTATATGTATATATATATATATGTATGTATATATATATATATGTGTATATATATATATATGTATATATATATATATATATGTGTATATATATATGTATATATATATATATGTATATATATATGTGTGTATATATATATGTGTATATGTGTATATATATATGTGTGTATATATATATGTGTATATGTGTATATAGATATGTGTGTATATAGATATATATGTATATATCAGCACCCCTCACGCTGCATCAATACACACATTACGCTCCAGATACACACTAGATCCCTTACCCTATATGCACTCTTAATCATATATATATATATATATATATATATATATATATATATATATATATATATATATATATATACACACACAATCTCCTATACACACTGAGTCCTTTACACACTAGATCTCCTACACACACATTGCCCCTAGCCACACATTACACCACAAACACAAATGAAATTTACCTATTTACACAATACCACACCACACTCTATGCACACGCAGTCCCACAAGCAGGCTCCAAACAAATGCACCACTTTCCTAGCCCCTTTTTCCTCTGGTGTCCCACTTGTGGAGACACCAGAGACAATTTAAAAGCAAACAGCGCAAGCATGTTATTAAACTTGCTTGCGCTGCGCAGAACAAATTCAGGGCCTTTTTCTAATGCTAGAGTTCTTCAGTGGGGCTCTGCACATTGAACCAACATGCTCACTTTGAGAGGGGGCGCTCTTGTCATTAGTGATGACAAAACACACCTTCTCTGGCCCTGCCCCCTACTTAAGGGGCCGCTCTGATTGAAAAAATGCCCGGGCCTAATTTTTATCCCCAGTCCGGCCCTGGTAAGAAATATATTTCCCCCCCCTTTATTTTCAAGGACGTATTTACACAAGGAGATGGTTGCGTGTGAAATGTGCATGATGGTAGCTTGATCTGCATAGCTGCAGGTAAACGGTTTCCAAATTCTTTTAAACTACTTTTTTTTTTTTTTTTAAACAATTCTTAATGTGCTCAAGTCTGTTAGACACCCACAGAGTGACTTTTAAATGTAAATAGAGGTATTCCCTAGATAGAAAATCCAAATAGGGAGTACAGAGAGAAACGGGTTATAAGGGTGGTAATACGGGCATAACCCTGCATAAAGCACGAAATATACAAAAAAATGAAGGGAAAAACAGCCCCGTGACAAATCAGGCTGTTCTCCTTCAAACCACCCAAAACAAATCAACGTCTAAGAAAAATAAATTTTTATTAAGAATAAAATCAGACAACCTAAGGACTCGTATATAAGACAGTAAGCTACAAGGTTATAATGGAAACAGCATGTATCAGTCACTGTTATATGTAGCAGAATAAACTCAGACAGGATTAAAGCTACACATGATACTTAGATACATATAGAACCTAACAAAAGGGATAACCTTGTATATAGATGGTAAAACAAATGGGGAGGACCATATAAGTAAAGGGAAGGTTCAGGTAAACTCCAGAGCTGAAAAAATCAGTCTCATAATAACCCCATATAATAATGAATGGTCGCCCCAACGTATTTAGACACTCACTATACTGTTATTAGGAGTTCACTAAAGGTAGAGGTATATTCAAACAAAAATGAATTGAGAAAAAGTAAAAATAAAATTAAATCACATAACCTAAGGACTCATAAAGATAACACAGTACTATCTATAAACTGCAAGGTCCTAATAAGATGAAAAGTAATCGGAACACTATTCCATATAGTAGTCTAAACTCTAGAAGAGTTAGTGCTAAGTAGATAAACCCTGCAGAAAGACAGAAAGTGCAAATTAGTAGACTTGCATTGGAAATCGAAAGGATAGGGAAGATATTATAAATGAGGAGAGAAAAAATAGAGATGGATATAAATATAAGTATAAAGTTGGTCTAAATAAGACAGATAGAACTTGATAGATCCACCTCGCAATGTCTCCCTATCAAATAATCATCCCAGCGTATAGAACCGATCGACCCCAGAGTCACTAAAACATTAATCTAGAAGAGTAACACTAAAGGTATAACAATGTCGGAGAAACAAGCCCGACGCGCGTTTCGGCGGGTAAACCGCCTTTCTCAAGAGCAAGGTACAGTGTGTCTAATTAGACACACTGTACCTTGCTCTTGAGAAAGGCGGTTTACCCGCCGAAACGCGCGTCGGGCTTGTTTCTCCGACATTGTTATACCTTTAGTGTTACTCTTCTAGATTAATGTAACCTCTTGAACGCAATAATGTTCCTAAAACCATTCCAGAACAATATTTGCATTGTCTGGGTGCATTATCCTGCTGAGGTCACTGCCATCAGGGAACACCTTTGACACATACCATCTACCTTGATATTATCGCAGACCCTTGATAGCAAAGTAGCATTCACATGAATGCTAGGAACCAAGACTTACCAGCAACACATTACCCACAGCATAACACTGCCTTCTTCCATAATGCATCCTGCTGCCATCTCTTCCCAAGGTAAACTACACACACAAACCTGGCCATCCACCTGATGTAAAACAAAACATGATTGATTCAGACCAGGCAACCTTCCCTTGTTTTCATTGTCCAGTTCTGAACACACCTCATCGAAGTATTTTGGTGGTGGACAGGGGCACAGCCACATACGCAACAAACGGTGATGCACTGTATTGACTTTTTTTTTGTCAGAGTGGGCAAGCCTTTGCTCCCCATGTGCATCAATGGGCCTTGGGCCCCCATGACACTGGTTCCGGTTCACTGGTCTGTCCTTCCTTGCACCAATTTTGGTAAATGCTAACCAATGCATACTGGCTCTAGATATGTTGCCAGATGTGCAATTAACATAAATAGTCTAACAGTTGAGTGCCTCCATAACCTATGATTTGTTGGTCTCTTCCATAATTGCCCCAGAGAAGCCAATAGAAGCTTTCAACTCTCAAGGTCCTGCATCACCAGTCTAGCTTATGGCTCCCAGTGGAGAAGGGTATTTTTGCCTGGCAGACTACCAGGTAAGATGTTAAGCAGTAAATGGCTTTTCTACTTGCATAGTGGGATGAAGGGCGCTCCTGGCACCACAATTACGTCTTGCTGAAAGGATCGTGTCTGGGTTGTTCCTTGAATCAAATGTGACTTGATCCCACAAACTGTAAAAATTTTACTTTGCTCCTTTTTAAAAACATCCATTTGAAACCAATGTCCTTTCTGTTACCTTGTCAGAATTTTTTTTTTGACTCCCTTAGGAGTAAAACCTGAAAGTGAATCTTCAGCCAAGTGTTTGTATATGAAATGTCAGCTTGCCTGTCTAAATGATGTATTGCTTCTTTCCAAACTGTACATTTAGTCACTAACTATACCTTTTAATGTTGGCCTTACCGATTAGTTTTACCAATTAAAGAATCACATTTACTTGGACGCTCCATTGCCCAAATACAGAAATAATCTGTTAAGTAGGTATATCCGAAATGAAAACTGGCATGTATACAATTATACAGGAAGTAACAGAACCTGCTGTCTGCTTGAAAGTCAGGATTGTAACAATGTTAACTTATGTGTCGTTTCTATTAAATTTTTCACTTTTTGCAAAATGGGGGATGGGGGGGACACACTTCAAACATTACACTTTTCATAAGCTAAAGTGCTTTAGGGGTCAGGGTTGTCCCTTTTAAAGTGGCTTTCACCTTCTGGGGTCCTTGCATATGTAGCAGTGTGGTGGTGCAGGGGAAGGAAAACTGCTGTTGACATGTTAATTTGATAGGTTTTCTTTGGCTCCTTGCACTTCACCTGTAAGGAACCCACGTCAGTGCTGTACTTTCGTGCATTTGGGAGCACAATACTGATGTTTATGGAGGATCACGCTAGAGACTGGGAGCCTCTATAGGCAATGTAGTTTGTGAGGTTATTTTTGGTTTGTTTTTTTCCCACAGCAGTCACTTTTTTTCAATTTGACAATTTTTATTTTCAAGTTCAAACTTGGGGTACAGAAGGAAAGAGGGGTGGGGGGAAGAAACACATTTGTACATTTCCAGCTTTACAGTTTCAACGTTTGCCATCCTGAACATAGCTTCTAGCGTAGTTGTAAATATATTCAAATTTGCTCACTTTGTCGCGACAGGCCAGTTCCTTGTTCTGTTCCCTGTGTTTGCACAAGTGGCTTTTTTTTTTATTTTTTTATTTTTTTCCTTCTATATGGGTGACGATTTTCTTTTTGTGGTGTTTAGACGTGAGCAAGGGGGGTAGGTGTGCGGGGATGCAGAAAAGAATAAGGGAGGGGTAGGGGGTTACGTATCTTCCGTTTACATGGCATCGCGGTACATTCAATTGGTAGGTATGCGTTTTTCGTGACATATTTGTTTACCCATGGTGTTACCCATCATGTTTGTCTGCATGATGCTATCATCGTAGTCTAGTCCTTGGATGGTGCTGGGGGTGCCATGTCAGTTGTGGAAGCACGTATAATGTATGATATACAATATAAACGATGTAAACGTTAATAATAACTATATACATGGAACTTGTCCCACCTATGCAATTTTTACTGTATGACTGATTCCCTGTTGCGCTGGGTTCGATCTAGGCTTGTCAATTGGGTCTGGTGCCTTTCCCGTCAGTGTTTGTTTCTCCACATTGTTAATTGTATACATTTGGATTTGTTCCCTTTTCTATACCTTGTATTTGTTTAGTTTGTTACGGTGGGTCGTGCGTTGCGTGTCTGTGTGTTATGTGGGGTGCTTGTTCGAATTGGAGCCACAGATTGTAAGCTTCTGTGGTTGTGCGGTCCTCTTGCCCCAGTGTCCCCGCAAATTTTTCATATGAGACATTGGTAGATGTTAGGGCTATTATTTCTGTTTTTGTGGGAATCACCGACGATTTCCATTGTCTTGCTATTAATGTCGTTGCCGCTATCGTGATAAGATAGACTAGTTTTCGAACGGGTTTCGTGATATTTTGTGGTGAGATGTGTAATAGATATAAACAAAGGGGTAAGTCTATACTGTATCAAATACTAGTATAGACTAAAGGGGTGGCACAACAAACATGAACCATACAACCTGTATACACTATAACACAGTTCTTCAAAGAATCTAAAACATGAAAAAAAAATCACATAATAGTGAAGTATGTACAGGAATATATGATTCAGTCCCGTAGATAGAGAACTTACAAGACCGTGCTGTAGATCTGCGCTTGTCTCCCTTCCATAGGGTATTAAAGTAGCGTATTCTTTCTCAGTGGGCTTGTGTGTATGGACCAAAAGGGCGTAGATTCAGAACACCCAATCCTCAAATAAAAAGAGGTATATAGAGCAGTATTGCAAACAAAGATAGATTTATTAATACAAATTGCACTTACATCAAGTGAAGATTATAGCAGCATATCACCACTCACAAGTGGTACCGAGGAAAAGAAGACCCTCTGTGATAGTATAAAAATATAAAAAGTAATTATATACTAAAAACAATAAAATAACAAAAAAGAAGAAAAAAGGTATTCCTGATCAATATCCAACGCGTTTCGTCTATGTAGACTTCTTCAGGGATAAGAAAGTGTCCAGAAAGTCCTTCTTTTATAAGGCTCCAAAAAGATCTTGAAATTGCCGCGGAAAAACCTTTACTTCCGGGTTTCAGTCTTGCCTCATTCTGATTGGTTGAACAAAATAACCCTCTCGAACGGATGTAGAACCAGATCTCACTTCCGCGTTCCATACTGGAACGCAAAACGTCCATAACACATGATACAATATCCTAAGCAGTACTTCCGCGTTCCACGGTGGAACGCGGAAGTACTGCTTAGGATATTGTATCATGTGTTATGGACGTTTTGCGTTCCAGTATGGAACGCGGAAGTGAGATCTGGTTCTACATCCGTTCGAGAGGGTTATTTTGTTCAACCAATCAGAATGAGGCAAGACCGAAACCCGGAAGTAAAGGTTTTTTCGCGGCAATTTCAAGATCTTTTTGGAGCCTTATAAAAGAAGGACTTTCTGGACACTTTCTTATCCCTGAAGAAGTCTACATAGACGAAACGCGTTGGATATTGATCAGGAATACCTTTTTTCTTCTTTTTTGTTATTTTATTGTTTTTAGTATATAATTACTTTTTATATTTTTATACTATCACAGAGGGACTTCTTTTCCTCGGTACCACTTGTGAGTGGTGATATGCTGCTATAATCTTCACTTGATGTAAGTGCAATTTGTATTAATAAATCTATCTTTGTTTGCAATACTGCTCTATATACCTCTTTTTATTTGAGGATTGGGTGTTTTGAATCTACGCCTTTTTGGTCCATACACACAAGCCCACTGAGAAAGAATACGCTACTTTAATACCCTATGGAAGGGAGACAAGCGCAGATCTACAGCACGGTCTTGTAAGTTCTCTATCTACGGGACTGAATCATATATTCCTGTACATACTTCACTATTATGTGATTTTTTTCATGTTTTAGATTATTTGAAGAACTGTGTTATAGTGTATACAGGTTGTATGGTTCATGTTTGTTGTGCCACCCCTTTAGTCTATACTAGTATTTGATACAGTATAGACTTACCCCTTTGTTTATATTGTATTGGTGTATGTGAGGTACACTTCTGGGTGTTTTGGCACTGTTTTGTGGTTTTTGCTTGGGATATTATATAGTGCCTCTTTCTTTTTTCTGTTTATTGATTTATCCCTCACTTGGTACTATATACCCACATGGCATCCAATAATGTTTATCATGAAATGCGACAAGAACGTAACAAAAGAATCAATTTATTATTCCATCAAAAAACTGTTTCCATAGATAATTCTCTCTCTAAGAGTTTTGAAAAATTGGAATTTTTATTAGAAAAAGAGACTAAAAAATGGTGGGAGATAACCTCCCTAGAACAATATTTAGCATCTAATATCGTCCCCAGAGGCCTTAGAATACTAAAAACACCTGCTTATGGCCTGGAAGATAAAATGCTAATAGATGAATGGTTTAAGGCTAGTGATGAATGTTCGAAAAAATATATCCAAAGCCTGATTGATTTTCAAAAAAGATCATTAAAAATCATAGAGGAAGAGATCCAGACTCTGGAAAGAGATATTGTCTTACACAAAGACACCAGAGTTGTGGAGGATAATTATAAAATCCTAAAAGAAAAAATCAAAACAGTAGATGATAGGATATCGAATACTA